ATTGATACATGATATAGTTAAGACTGAATGTATCGATAGCATTTTGGAAAAAAGAAGTCGTATATATTTTCACTGAATTAATGACGATTTTCTATTAATACATCCGAGATAATCATAGTCCATTGTCAATATCAGCTAGATGCATGAAGAATAGATTATGATTTGTTAGTTAATTGAAATGATTATATTGTCAAAACAAGTTATAATGAATACACTTCTATAATGTTCTGAACTATGTTCGAAGAAAATCCATGAAAGAGTAAATATTATAATGTGCTTCTGTTTATTTCAGAATACCCTCAAGGAGAGTACAATATTATGCATTATGAATTGTAGATACACTTTACCTTATGAGAAAATTTCAAATGTTTTCAAATTATTATCATTTATTGTTGAATGATTTACAGAAAATATTTGAATGTTTATAAAAGAGCGCTTCAGTTCAATTTTCATTGAAAATGCCGTTGGAACCATTGATAAAATAGCAGTATTTTTTCAAAGATGTTTAAAAAACAATTGTATTTCATAGAAAATGAATGTAGTTTCAATACATTGAGTAAAATAATCTGAACAATATCGAAAGTATGATAATCAATTAAAACAAAACTAAAGAGTAGATATGTTGACTTTGATTACGAAGCGCCTTTCTATTCATCATTAGTATAATGACACAATCATCAGATAGTTCAAATAAATCATATCTACAAAGAGAAATATCAAGTCAACAAAATCTTTCATATTTAACTACAGTTGATTATCTTCTTGTTCGACAAATATTTGATACAGAACAATTAGTTCAAACTCTTGTTGGAATTACTGCACGAGTTAAATTTGGAATTTTTAATAATTTAAATCAACAGATTTGTTTTGCTTATGAAGGTAATTTGAAAAGATTTTTTTATTAGTCTTCTAATTTTATAATTAAGAATCTAATTGTTTTGAACGTTTCTGTTGTGGATCAAATCGTAGTTTTATTATACATATTGTCAATAACTCTAATCAGGTTTCAAAACAAAGGAAAATTATTTATTATTTTTTGTAATAAAAAATAGGAAATTATTCGAATTGAACGAAATCGAAAATTTTGTACAGGAATTTGTTTTTGTTTTGCAAATTCTTGTGATTGTTGTACTGAAGAAGCTTTTGTTGAATCACCACCTGGAACTTATATTGGTAAAATTCGACAAAAGTTTGTAACAATATATTCAATAATTAATCATCAGATATATCTTTTCAAGAGCAAGTTGTTGTCGTACTCGATTTAATTTAATCAACGAATCAAATGAAAAAATATTATCCATATCAAGTGATTATTGTATTTGTAATGGTCCTTGTTATTGTTGTTGTGAAAATAAATTTACAGTATAAATGAATGAATAAAAAAAAAACCAAAAATTAATTTTTATATTTATTAATATAGATCATTGGATATGATGATCATACAGAAATTGGAGCAATTCATAAAAAATATGGTGAATTATACATAACATAAATTTCGCAAAAAAAAATATTATAAATATTTATTTTAGCTGGATTTATTCATGAAGCTTTTACAGATGTGGAATTGTTTACTATTACATGTAAATATATACACATATGTGTAGTAAAGTTAAAATGCCAATTATTATGATTTATAGTTTTTCTCATTCTTATCTTATTTTGTATGTTTTTAGTTCCAAAAGATCTTGATACGCGTCTGAAAGCTATTGGTTTAGCTGCACTTTTTCTTATCGTAAGAATGCATTTTATTAATTTCAAGGTCTTTTTTATCGTTTTCTTATTTTTTAAGAATATAATGCATTTCACACAACAAAATCGCTAATAAACGAAATGATTCTTATTTCTGACGTAGACAGTTGAAATCAAATTATGTAATAATAATAGATGATTTTCATGTTAATTTGTTGACCTGTTTTTTTGTTTTCGATGATATTATATATAGACAATCATATGTCCTAAGATGACGTCAATAAAAGGTGATAAAGCAAAAAAATACGAACTAATCAATCATTAGAGACGAGACTTTTACGACGAAAGAATTATTGTTGCACTGTTATTAGTCATACTATTTTCAAAAAATATAAACATTCATCAGTGAATTGATATTAAAGTAAAAAAGAACGATATTTCAATCTAGAACATGAGTCATCGTTAGAATATTTAACCAAATAAAAAGAAAAGAACAGAACAGAAGAAATATTTTTATATATATATAATACGACATATCGAGTCTGCACTACGTTTTCTTTTTTTTTGACTCATTCTTGACACAACACACACTCAAAACAAACGCATTATTATAGTGAAAGTTCTTTTTTTCCTTTGATTGTACAGTCATCACGATAGTAGTAGTATTTAAACTGAATACAGACACTATTTTTATATCTTAAACTTGAATTTTATAACGAAATGACGAATATATAGATATATATATAAACGACTATATAGACGCTTATGAATAATACTTTTTGTTTTTCTTTCTATTCTATATATCTGTATTCTAGATCATTATATTTCTTTATATTTATTCGTTGTTCATGGCTTCATGTGCAGTTGAAATCACAGGATTAACAACAAACTATTGTCAGACAACAAATTCAATGAAACAATCATCTTCTTTTGAAACAATAAATCCACGATGTCAATTCAGTTTTCATGCTGATCCTTGCATCATGGATCGAACAGCAATATTACAAAATCATGAATTAACAAAGAAAAGACAATTCAATCGAAGTCATACATATTCAGGTACGAATGAATTTCCAACTATAATTACAGACAACAACAGCTGTTCGTCACAAGCTGTTCCAATAAATAATCATGAAAGTATGAAATAAATATATTCATTTGATTTTTGAATTAAATTATATCTTTCTAGGTCTAGTCACATCAATTCGACCAAAAACATTATTTCCAAATGAGTCGATAAACAATCTATCTGTACCACGTTATCGAACATGTCTAAGTCATCCATCGACAATATCTGACTCATTTCTCTCTAATGACGATAATACCTTATCACCTCCTAGTTTTACTTCATTACCTATACTTGAGTCTCCTCCAGCTAAACGTCTTCGACCACAAACATTGAACTTTAAATCAACAAATCAATCTGTTCCTATTATAGCGATAATAAATTCTTCATCATCGTCATCCACTAATTTTATTGAATCCAGCGAATTAGTTAACAAATTAAATGAAAACAATGCAATAGTCATCTTTGATTGTGGTTCACCATTTCGTTATAATGAAAATCATATAATTCGATCCAATCTTCTTCATGTTTCTGATAAAGTTTCTCGTAGACGTTTTAAAACTAATCCAACAAAAAATTTAACAATTGATCTGGAACAATTAAATAATTGTGATTCTATTATTTTATATGATGATAATATTAATAATGATCAACAATTATCAGCAGGAATCAAATGTGCATGTGAAATAATTCAACGTTCTCTTACAATCAAATATCCTTCAATATTTATACTTAAAAATTCTTTTGAAGAATTTGCAAAACTTTATCCAAATCTATGTGAATCTTCACAAACATCATTATTTACACCAAATGATCTACCATCATCATCGTCATCATCAACTCCTAGTTTAGATCCTTTAAATTATCCAATGACACATATTATCGATGGTTTATTTATTGGTAGTGAATCTAATGCTAAAAATTTAGAAGAATTAACTTCAGAAAATATTCGACATATTATTAATGTAACATCTCATGTGCCCTTATATCATTCAGAACAATGCCATTATTATCATATACCAGCTGATGATACACAAAAACAAAATTTATTAGATTATTTCGATGATGCTTATAGATTTATACAAAATGCAATAGAAAATAATGAAAAAGTACTTGTTCATTGTGTGGCTGGAATAAGTCGATCACCAGCTATAGTTATTAGTTTTTTAATGCGTTATGCACATATGACAATGAATGATGCTTATGAATTTGTCAAAGAAAAACGTTCCATTGTTTCACCAAATCTTAATTTCATGGGACAATTACTTCAATATGAAAAAAAATTAAGAGACCAAAACGAAATACTTTCGAACAAAAATTAGTTGTTGTTTTTTTAAACGTTATGCTTTTTATTGTATATTTTCTTTTTTGTTAAATTATTGTTTACTTTTTTGTTCATTGAAATTCAGCACAAAAAAACTAGATAATTTTAAAATGTAGGTGACGATGATTTATTCACGAAAAAAAACCCATTACTTATGATTAGTAGGAAATTGTCTATTAGTAATCTGACACGTAATAACAGTTACTCATCGTATAGTGACTGATGTAAAACATTTGACACTACAATACAAATGATTTCAATTGCGTTCTTACAATATATAATGTAATGAGAAAAAGCTTCCGCAACATCAGCTGCATGTTACGCAATAGATGAGTAATATGACTTTTAATTGGTAGGGTCATATTACTAAAGGTGCAACAGTCGGAAGTAAAATATATTGAATGTAAATAACGAACTTAGCAGAATTTATAATTTAAAAAATTATTTATAATCTATATATATGAAGATATAAATAGATACTTTTTAGACATCCATAATAAGTAATAATGTATAGAATGATAAAAATAGATACATTATATAATTTCATAGGAGTAAATTAATCTATATTTTATTAATGTATTTTATTATAACTTGAAGTAATCCATGAAAATAATCTTATAAATAGTCATTTCCTCCTTCGATATAGTTTTAATAATTATTGAAATATTTATTCTAGTCTGTTGAAGTTTTGTCCTAATATTAAATATTTGTTAGGTTGACATATATATCTTGTATTTTGAATTCATAGTCATATTTATATATAAAATAAAACACAATAATTTATATCAATATTTAACTGTGAAAATATAAGGTCTCTTATTTATAAGTTTAGTCTAATATCGACAAAAAGTCTCACAGTTTTTTGTTAATGTGAAAATACTATACAAAAAAAAAACAAAGAACAACAATAAATTGTTTTTTTCATCTAGTCTCATTTCTTAATACTACCACTTGACCTGCATGTGTAATATTTACAGCAACAGATTCTGGTAAATAAAATGGTTCACCATCCATTTGTGCTGTCATAGGACAACATATTTCAATACGTACTTGACTACATTGTGCAATACGCATACCACGAAAACCAATATGAATCGTAGCCATATGTGTTGTACTTAAACCTACAACTTCAATTTTTTTATCACCAAAATCTTGTCGTTCAAAACGGCCAGTTGAATTATTAACTGTTGTTATTATTGATGAATTCATTTGATCAGTTGAACATTCATTTAATGTTATTAATTCATAAACTTCATGTGTATTTGCTGGTAAATCAAGTATATCAATAGAACTTGTTGAAATTTGTTCAAATGAATCAGAATCTTTTTGTATGGTTATTGGTGGTGATGACGAGGAATTATTTGATGATTTACCCCATGGATTTGTACCTGATGCATAACCCGATATATTTAAAACAAGTAATGTATGACAATTTTTAATTGAATCAGTTAAATTTTCTCCATCACATATTAAACGTATATATGAACTTAAATTCCACATTTTTGAACGTGCAAAATCATTTAAATATTTTCGACTTTCATTTAAATACATTAATTTATTTTTTAATGGTGAAGAAAATTTTGCTGGATCACGTGAACGTCTATCATGAAATTCTAATGCTATAGCTGCATCTAAACCAAAACTCATATAATTTATAAAACGTGTATTTGGTAATGTACGATGATTTTGATAGGATGCACGTTTTGTATCACGAATAAATTTTGGATGAGTAAAAAACGATAAAAATGATCGTCCAGTATTAAGATTTATACTTGAATTTGTTAAATCCATTGGTTCAATTGTAACTTGCCAACGATCAAGTGCTATGGGTTGTGCATATGGTATTTGTGCTAGAGTTGGTAATAAACGTTTCGGATCATATTGTTCACCCCATGATAATACACGTGATAAATCATTACCGGTACCTAATGGACATATACAAACAGGTGGATTATTTAATGATGGATAAATTTCAGCTAAACGACCTAATACCCAACCAACAGTACCATCACCACCAAATACACATATGCGAATATTTGGCAGTTGTGAATATATTTCTAAGGCATTAATTATAGTTTGATCATTTTCAAGTAAAAATACTTGACGAGGATTTAATAGACGTAATAATTTACGATAGATTTTTTCACCACTTTGACCACCAGAACGTTTATTTATAAATAGAAGTAAGGGTGTATAACCAGTATCATGTTCATTATAAGAAGGATTCTGAGCACGAAAAAGTAATGGATAATTAGGTGAACGATGTATCCATTGTGGTCGAACAATTATATTTCTAAAAGAAAACGGAATATTTCAAAAGAATGAAATAATATATTTTTTTATAATCATACCTAAATATTCCATAGTCACATTTATGTTTATCATCATGATTAAATATTTGTTCCCAACAACGTCTATGATAACCACGTGAACACCATAAACATTGAAGGCCATTTGTTGTTCTAGATAGCTTTGGACTGTCTGGTATTGGACTTTTATTATAACCGAAACCTCTCGATGCTATATCAAATGTTGGCATTGTTGATGGTCGAGTATTTCCACTAAACATAACATTTGATATAGATTTTCGTTTACAAAAAGCACATGGTTTAGTAAGTATCGATACAGGAGACCAATAATGTCGATCAACTTTATTTTGTTCGTCGTCATCAAAAAATGATGGACGACATAATGGCATAAAATTTGTTTTACTTGCTGCTGCCGCTGTTGTTGTTGTTGATGTTCGTAAATTTAATAGATGATGATTATGTACAACAATGAAACATGATTCACATTGAACGAGTGATAAAATAAGTGTTGGTTTAGGATTTTTACAAGAAAAAAACGCACATGCTGGCGATGATGCAGGGTCATTTTGATGATATGGAAACCAACAATGTGACGTAGAAGATGCTCGATCTGTCCAATCAACACCATATAAAATTGGAATGTTTGATTCTGATGGTGATGAAGATGATGAAGATGATATCGATTGTAAAGTACTATTAAAAAACAACCAGAAGATAATTTATTCAAAATGATCTTTTGTGATTTGAATATACACTTGTAAATTAGTAAGTTCATTCATATTTTATGTATTTTTTTTTTTTGGTTGTCCTCATAATAAATATTGCTTTTACATTAGAAATTCCATATTATTAATTGATCTGTCAATTTATTCTTCTCATCATAACAACTGTACGTTAGTTTATTTCTAGAAGTTGACAATCAATTTTCTTTCTATTTACTTCAAATACATATACATCATCAATCTGTCCAAAATAAGACAAGTAAATAGCTTGTCAGACAAATATTTTTTGCTATGTGCATTGATTATTATTATTATCATTATTATTATTATTATATATTCTTTCTTTCTTTTTTTTTATTGAAAATATCAATAATAAGAAAATATTTTTCATACCTTTTTGAATTTGAGATTGATTCAGTTGTCATTTGTCCAGGCATATTTACCACATAATCTCTTGGAGATGGTAAACGAAAATGTGGTAACTCATCATCATCATCATCATCATTATCGTCGTCATTATCATCCTCGTCATCATCAAAATCATTTTTAATTGTTTGAGTTAATGATAATGGTTGATATCGAGGATGAAATTTTGTAGATAAATGTTCAATAGGTGTTGATGGCAATGATATTGATGGCGTTCTATCTAATTTTTTATTATATAATTCCAAATTATATTTAGTAGGATTAATATCTAATCGACGTAGATCACGTTCAAGTATTCGATGATTATTTTCACATCTATTTACTAAAGTATCACAATCACGTGGTTGACTAATTAAATCAAAACTTGAATGAGCATTTATATTTCCACATGTTGATATTGTTGTTGATGATGATACAGTTGTATTAATACATGATGTATATTCAAGAAGTTTATGTGGTGAACGAGATATTGATGGTGATGTTGATTCAGCCATTCTTTCAATAAAGAAAGAAACAGACTAAAATATTTGTGGAATACATACGAATATTTTTGTTTGATTATATAAGAAAAAAAAAAAAAAAAGAAAGAAGAAAAACAAAACGATAAAAATTTATCGGAAACTATGTTATCGTCACCCGCTTCCCTTTCTTTTATGTCTTTCGCCAGTTTGTACGACTAGTATTCTACTCGTCAACAGTATGAACATCTTCATTGAATATGACAGTTATTTTTTTTTCTCTCTCTCTCTCTGTCGCTTATTTCTTCTTTATTACGGCGTGATGTCTGCTATGTCACCAACATAGTTTATGTCGATGTTGACGATCGATGAAGATGATGATATGGAAGACTGCCACATTTGTTTTTGACAAGAGAGACAATAATAACATTGTCGTTATTGTCTCAATCGTATTTCCACTCCTACTGTGTGTGTGTGTGTGTTATATGCATATTAGGCACGCAAACGAGATAAATCAATGAAAAACTATTGTCGTTTCTGTTTTTACAATGAATTCATTTGATCAATTTATCAGATTGTCGAACTAAATATGTAAAAAAGCTTAATATTTTCTTTTTTTCTATTATTTTCTAATTAAAATTAGTTTTCTAATTTAATTATTGTTTTACTAATTAACTTCAGCTTACCTGTTTATTAAATTTTCGTGTTTAGTAATATAAATTTACACATAAACATTGTTATATGAACTGTAACAATATATTCGTATAAACGAGTATGAATAAAAGCCAGAAGTTTGTTGTTATTTTTTTGACAGACACAACAGCACACATACACACCACATAGGCAAAGCAGAGAAGGAAAAAAAAAAGGAGACCTATGTTATCAGACGAAGCCTATGGAATTTTTTTCTTCTTTTTTTTTTTACTCGTTTCTTTTTCTCCTGCGATGCTGTCGACAGCAAGAACCCATATTGTGTATTTATCGACATGCATTAGAAGAAAAAAAGAAAGAAAGTAAAGGTGCATGAATGTCAATGGAAGTTGAAAGTGACAATACACGCAAGTGAAAAAATTCATGGTTTTTCTTTTTTTTCTTTACGTGTTTTTTCATATATTGTATTAGTGTCATTTGGATTAAATAAGACAACGAAAACAAAAAAAAAAAGAAAATTTCATCTGACAAATTGCCTACGCAGTTGATTTCAGCTATCGTGTTGTGCTTTTTTAATGACACATAAGTGCATTTGAAGAAATGAAAATATTACTCAAGTTCTCCAAGAAGACTTATTAGTCATCTAGGAAAATTAGTTTATTACATTTTCTTTATTATAATAATAACACAAAAAAAAATAGAAGTAGATTTTTTTTATAAAATCATGAAGTTGTTGCGTGTTGTGACATTTTTCTTAACATCATTGCTTCAAAATCTTCAAAGTCAGGTTTCGTTAAATCAACAAGATCATCTTGTTTAGTAACTGTTGGATTAGTTTGTTTTTGAAGTTTAACTGAAGCAAAATGTCGTCCACCGGAACCTTTTTCATTCTCAATAATTTTTGATATATGTTCATCATTAAATTCAATTAACGCCTTTTTAGGATACAGATTAACAATTGTTGAAATATTTCCATATTTTGAGAATATTTGTCTTAATTCATCATCTGTATATGGATCAGTATTTGGAAGATATTTGATAATAATATTTCGATGATTTAATAATTTTTTTTGTTTATCTTGTTCGATAATATTATGAAGATTCTCAAGTTCTTCATCCACCAAACGACTTCCTTCACGCCTTAAACGGTCAACTTCAGCACGTAATTTATCTGTGTTATATGTATTAACTGTTGATTTTGTTGCTTGTGATGCTTTTTGTTCTTTACGATCAAGATCTTCTTTAAATTTTTTTCGTTTTTCATCCATTTGTGATAAACGTTCTTCTTGAACTTTTTTTTGTTTTCGACATGTATCATATGTTTTTCGAGCTTGTTCATCGGCTAATAATTCTAAAGCTCGTTTAATAAGTAAAAAATGTTCTTTTTTTTCTTCATCATCAGGATATTTATCTGGATGACATCTTAATGCTGTTTTTCGAAATGCAGTTGTTAATTCTTTGATTGAACATGTTTCTTCAACACCCAATAAACCATAAAGATCCAATTGACTTAAATCAGTCATATTTTTATCTGAAAGATTAAATGAGAATATAAGATTTATTTTAAGAAATGGAATGATTAAATTTATTTTCACAAAACAAAGAAAAATAAAAGAATTGTGTTTTTCTTCATCTTCTTTTTTGTTATCACTCAATGCCAAAACCTTCACAATTTTCAATAGCAAGAAATAATTTTTCTTTGAGAATTTCACGAGTTGGATAAGGTGGTAAAAGTAATTGATTAAAACTAGAAAAAGAAAGAGATTATGTTGATAAAAAGAAAAGAAAACAATAAATAATTACATACCATGTATGTGACATGGGTAACCTAGAAGAGAGAGAAAAAAAACAACGAGATGCATATTTATGTAAATGAAAAAATTCTTTTATTTGATTTTATCAATCGATGAGAAAAAAATATCTCCATATATTGTTGTCTATCTACTGAATATTCATACTAATGAAAGACAAAACAAAAACTTGAATTTTATTGACTAACAAATAAAAATTGCGAAATATATTTTGATGAAATTACGTATGTGTCTTAAATATATGTCAAAAATCCAGAAACTGAAAGCTGTCTCCGGTGGATGGGTTGAACCCATTTCAATCATAATTATTTAACTTACAGTTCATTGATATTACATCGATTTGATGAAATTTTTCCAATTTTAAATGTCATTTCACTTAAACCTCCGATTGGCATACGATCACTACCAGTTACAAATAATAATAAACGTCTTTGTTTATCCGATGACATTTCTTCAATAACTTGCCAAAACCATCTTAAAAATACAACTTAATTCAAAAGTAAATCAACTAAATATTTACTTTATAAATTGATCATTTGGATGACAATTTTCATATTTAGTTATTTTAGCTAAATTAGTTAAATTACATTGTTGCATTCCACATATTAACATTTCAAGTTCTTCTGGTAAAAGTAAGAGAAGTGCATTTGATGAACAAACACTATGAAAACCATGATAAAATGCTTCAAATTGTTTTGATATATGTTTATTAATATAAAAATCAATTAATAATTCAACATATTCAATTCGATTATCATTTGTTACATCAATATTTGATCCATTTTCTTTCAATGGATAAACCAGTGTTGTATCAAATTGTGCAACAGAAACCTTTAAAAATAATTAAACTATATTAATCTATTGAACAAATCAGCAGTGCTCAAGTTTCCTAGATAAGGAAATTTCACTGAGAATTGAGGAAAATACTAGACCTCGAAGCAAAGGATGATTAGAAATTATTGAAAATTTTCAACTACTCAGAAAATTCGACAATTCCGGAAATTTCAGGCGTACGCTTCCTCAAATCTATATCTATATTATCCTATCTTCGTAATGCTACTATACAAATTTCGGAAATTTAAACATACCTCGTCAAATACTCTGAGGAATTTTTTTCTTTTCTAAACTATTCCCATAAGATTATTTAGTACTGAATGAAACATGATTAATAAAATTTCTTCAGTCAACTTACCTCAAATGTCAGCCCAAAATCATCTGCAACATTTCCATCATAATCAAGTAAATATTGAAGACTATCAGCAATATCCTTCCAAAAGATTATTATATAAATATAATTAATTATCATTAAAATAACTTACAGGTCGAATTGTTCGAAAATCTTTTAAAGTTGATGAAATAATTCCAATTTTAATTTTCGATAAATTTCCCATATGTTCATGTATAAATGCTGGTGTTAATAGTTTTTTATAGCAAACCAGTGGAAAACGTATATCAAGTATAATTGCATTATACACTGCTAAACCCATTAATATTCCAACTAAATTATATTCACGAATATTATCAGTTGATGCACCATTAAACCAAAATACTCCTGATGATTCATACAATACAAACATTCCTAAAAGTAAACAAAAAAATTAAAATATAGCTTTGTATAATATTAATAATGAATAACCATAATCAGGTTGAAATATTTGTCGAAGTAAAAGAAGAAACCATTCTTTTGTTAATCCACCCATATCAAGACCATGTTCACCGACAAATGTCACACGTAATTTCTTCTTTAAATCTTCACGTTTTTTTGTAACCTAAATAAATAATAGAATATTTAAATATATACGAAAATAATTTTTAACATACTTCAGCAAGTGAATCAAGAACTAAATGTGATCGTCGAATGTAAAGATTTAAAAAAAGCATATTTAAATCTGGTGCTTGTTTATTTTGAAATTTTTGTATCATACTTCGCTATTAAAAAACAATATTAATATTTTTTTCGATTAAATAAATAAATTATTACCCGTGCATTAACAATCATTTGTTGTTCAGAATCTCGTTTTAATATTGTTCGTTTAGCATTAACACTCAAGACAAATGGATATTGACAAAATGTAAAACTAAATAAAAATAGATTTTTTTGAGTTTTTTTTTCTTAGATTAAAAAAAGTAAAACAATAAAAGCCACAGAATTTATATGATTCAATAACGACATTGATTAAAAAAATAGTTCTAACCCTCCTGTTATTCCACGTGATTGTCGATGTTTCCATTCAAAATAGTCACGTTCTCCATCAATATAATTCAATGCATCTATAGCCATTTCTTGCAATGGTATTATACGACCATTTATCGTTTCATTAGCACTATCTGTTTATATTACAGATACAAAATAATATATATTTAGCAAAGATTCTATTTTCTATCTTCATTTATAAATAATATCTAATTAATGCAAAATAGCATAGAAATATTCTTAACTACCCTTTTGATTTTTTTAACCAAATATTGTATTCAAAACTGATATCAATACCATCAAGTAGATCGATGATAAATTCATCATATTTCATCATTTTTCGATTTAAATGTTCGTTAGTTACATCTTTATATTTCGATTATGATTTTTTCTCTCACTTTTCAGTCTTAATAAACTTACTAAATAATGCTAATGTTCGAATACCACATGGAATCCACCAACCATTAACAAGTGTTGATGCAGAATTATCTACACGTGATGGAAATAAATTTGTAGAAATAAATGTTTGTAAACGATGAACAGTTGATCGAAACATATTAACCGGTAATCTATAAATAAAAATATATGATTTTTAATTATAAGAAGCCAAAATGAATCTTACGTTTTTAAAAGTAATACAATTTCTTGATGTTCACGATCAACAAAATGTGCAATACGACGTAATACATGTGCAAAAATATGATAATTTGATGCTTCATCAAAAACCGGTGCCTACATAATCAAATACATTAGATCAATCAATTATGTATGATATTACAATATGTATTACCAATATAAGAATAGTATAACCCTTGAGAGTATTATCACAAGCACTATAAATGAAAAACAAGAATGCAAAAACAAAATATATCAGTTGAGACAATTTTAATGCTAAATCGAAACTCTCATATCAACACTTTTACCTAAACTGTTGATAATGATTTGAAAAACAAAAACTTGAAAATATTTATCTGATAAATTTAAAAAATAAATAATTGTTTTTTTGAAATCCTTACCGAACTTCTCTAATACAACATGATGCAATTGTTTTAAGAACAAGTCGAAATAATTTATCAGAATTTTTTATTATATGATCATGAATTATCTGAAGAAATTTCCAATCTATTTGTTTAGGATTATCAGTCTAGAGAAATAAATAAATCTATGTAATGAAAAAAATCTTATTTTGTTATGAGATTTACCAATGTTAATGTTTGTATCATATAATCAAAATTCATATAGAATTTCGAGAAAAAAGCGGAGATTTGATCATGATCAGGATTTTCTTCATTAATCAAATCTCTATTAATCATACGAATGAAAAAGTTATTTTAAATCTACAAAAGTTACTTACTGAAAACTATCACAATCATAAATTTTAACTGATGGTACGATTGATGCCGTTGTTGCAGTAATTGGTAATGATGTTGATGAAGTGAACTTTTCTTGTGTATTTACAATTGCTGGCATTTTGATATTCGACATCGATTGATCACGTTCATGATCAATTGTTCTACCATTATTATTAATCATATTTTGTTTCCGTAAGATGACTCGATTAAATGTTCGACTAAAGCGTGAACGAAGACTTGAAGTATCATCACTATTATCATCTCTTGTTCTTCTCTAAATAAAAATTAGAAAAACAAAAATGAAATTTAAATTCTATTCAATATATTACATTAATATCTTGTTTTAATTGTTGAATATTTGGTAGATTTGGTCGACTAAGAAATTCCCCACAAAAGGGACATAATATTCTTGTACGTCCATTACATTGTGGATCAGATTCAATATCTAATTGACATCGATGGCAATGCGATGTAACTGATGGTATTAAAGCGGAAGAATTACGACGTAGAGCATTTGCCATCGTGAAATTTATTTTCTACAATAAATAATGACAAGTAATTTCATTTCTTAGTCATTCGTTCATCCTCTTATTGGCTAATATGAATAACCAATACTAACATTACAAGGTTGACAATGATTGTTTTTTTATATTTATCTAATTTTTCTCATTCTTATTGAGTGTGTGCATTTAAGAAGAGGAAATTTATATTTTTATATGATTATAGATGCCACAAATAATTATGATGAAAGCACAATATTTAATTCTACTTAGTTTTCTATTAACATTTATCGTTATAACAAATGCTTTTTATACAAAAAGACAATTTTATTCATCAGTTATATATCTAACAAAATCAAATACAAGTCTTGCGGTAGAAGAATTATATATGAGTTTTTTTTTAATTAAAAATAAATTTATTTCTTAGGTTCTCTATGTTCAAGGATTTGTCTTTATTATTTTATTTGGTAAACTTTTTCAACGTATATTTCTTGGACAACTTCGAGCGATTGAAACTGAGGTTTGCTGAACTATGAAAATAGCCTTTCTCTTCTATTTATTTCTTCTTTGACAGCATCTATATGAACGTGCATGGTTTTCTATAACAGAAACATGTCTAGCATTTACTATGTTTCGTGATGATTTTAATACACGTTTTGCAATATT